CCTCCCAAGCGTCCTGTGTTACAGATGCCCCGTGCTCTCCAAGGTGCTCTGGGCTCCTCCAAACCAAAGAGAGATTTATTTTCTTGCCAGTTCCCGTTCCACCCCACCAACCCTCCCTCCTAGGGAAACTCCTTTATCAGTGGCATTTGAGTGCCTCCAACTCCAGGTGGGCAGGGTGGCATGTCCCCTAAGGCCATGCTTGTTAAATTACCAACCCATCACAGACTGGTGTCATTTAGAAAGATACCAAAACGAACTCGGAGAGAAATGAAATGGGGGAAAGACATACACAGTACGAGCCTACGTGTTACAAGTTGATTTGAATCTTTCTTGTTGCCGTTGAGAATAGTCACAGCAGCACACACGCCAATTCAACAGTTTCCATTTCTACACAAATGGGTCAGTGACGCCAATTACATCGTTCAAGTTGAACTGCCGCCACCACCCTCCCCCTCCTTTTTCTGAGGGGCTCCTCCCCTGTCCACCCACTCACTGTCCCCTGGGTAGTTTTCTATTCAATCTTTATTTTTATTTAAAACTATTTTTTTTCTATTCCATCTTTCATCCTTCCCTCATTTTGATCAGGATTGTTCTATAGAATCTTTGATCAAAATATTTGGTGATGGTAGCTGGCCAACATCCAGTTCTTCTCGTGTCTTAAGCCCACATTTTAAATTAGTTCCAAAAGTCATAAAATTATGGTCAAACTGCTATAAAAGTTTCCAATGATTTCTCTTCAGGTTTGCCCTTACTTTGTCACAGATGGAAAACCACAGGTCATGGGCCGGCACTGGGTGTGTGGACCACCAGGGCTTAACTTCCTGCTCTTGCTCAAGCGTCACCCAAGAGACTGTTAGGGGTGAAGACTCTCGGGTCCCAACCTGCACTTACTGAGTCAAACCTACATTTCAGGATTGCCAGGAGGATGTGAAGCAAGCCAGATACAAAGGAGTCAACAGTGAGGGATCACACTCACAGGAAAATAGGCAAACACATTGAGAGTTTCTGATTGAGATGTTGAAACACTGGAACGAAGTAGTGTCAAGGTGGGAGGGACAAAGGGAGGGAGGGGGAGGGAGGAAGGGAGAGAGAGAGAGAGAGAGAGAGAGAGGTGGTTTTTCATGTTGTGTGCACATAAAAGGTACAGAAGCATGACAATAGCCACCTGCTCCACGTGTCTCCTATACCAAGCAGAACGTAGGGTCTAGCTGAGGGCCTAACTCATGGAGTTGTTGAGAGAGCCTGTGTAAGGTTTGCAGTGCTCCTCTTTGGAATCAAAGTTTCATCCCAAACCACCTCGGGGATGGTTAGGGTACCAGTATCTGTCCACCCGCTCTCGGGCAGGTGGCTGTGGCTGGGTGCCATCCGGTGATTTGGCCCCGAGTGACTCCATGTGACACAGTGGACCAGCTTCATTGGTGTTTCTAGGCGCTGTGCTTTAAGGGAGCCAATCACAAGGTCTTTCTCTTGCTTTGAAGAAGATAACAGCCTACAAAACCCCTGTGGGGGCAGGTCTACTCTTTCCACGGGTCCTTATGCGTCAGAACGGACTTGACGGGTTCTAACTACAGCACCGTCATTACCCACCCACTGCCAGGGAGCTGGTTCTGACGCAGCCACCCTAGAGAGGGCAGCAGAGCTGCTCCTTGGGGTTTCCCAGACTGTAAATCTTGATAGGAGCAGACAGCCTCATCTTTCTCCCATGGAGCAGCTGGTGGGTTTGAACTGCCAACCTTGCTTTTATCAGTCCAGTGCTTACCTCACAGTGCCACCAGAATTCCTTACAGTATCATTAGTGAATAACACATAATTTTACACTTTTTTAACAGTTTCATTGGCACTTCACCCACACATCATATAATTCAATAGTCCAGTCATATCAAGATGAGTTGTACAATCTTTGCCACATTCAATTTTAGAACATTTTCATTTTCTTTTAAAAAAAATACTTTTATTGGGGATCTTATCACAATGCATACATTACTCCAATGTGTCGAGCACATTTGCACATATGCTGCCATCATCATTTTCTTTAAAAAAAA